GGAAAGGAACAAGATCATCAGCCAGCACAGTTCTAGCCAATGCCAGGCCATGTTGGAGAAGCTGGCAATGGTCGGGGATGTGTTGCCCCCGCTTGTGCGAGCGGCGAGAGCTGGAATGAAGCAGTCCCACATGCAAGCAGTCTTGGATTTTCTCGCAAAGGCACCCAGCGCTGGACGACTTTTCGCCAAGAAGCAGCTATTAGAGGATGAAAGTCACCGGCGTAGGGATTGGAAAGCAGTCGCCGATGAATGGAAAATGCGCAAAGACGACTTATATGAAGTGGTTGGCGGGCATCGTGCTACAGTTGAAGCCGCAATGATCCTTGCGAAGACTGGCGGCGATGGCCCTGGACTTGCGAAACCACCAGACTTGACAGAGTTTCTTGCGGAAGTGATGCGTGTGCAGTTGCGATGTCATCGTTATTATAGTCGGCCAGACACTTGCGATGCATATGTTTTATCAAGATATATGAGGACGTTGCACTCGATGCACGAATCCATCACGAAGGAGTTGTGTTGGCTCGGTGCATCCAATGAAACTGTTTTTTGATGATCTGCTCGAAATTCTTATCGCCCCAGGAAGCTTGAGCACTTCGTACCGCTTGAACATGTAGAGCAGCGTCTCTAAATCTCACAATTTGTATTTGTATGTAAACTAACCCAAATTCGCTTTCCGGCGTTGTGCCATTTCATTGCTGTTGATCCAGGAGCTGGAGGGGATGAGTTCAGAAGACAAGAGTACAGCCTGTCGCATGCTATCATTGCAGCTGTGTTTGCCTGCGATCACCTTCAACAGCTCCTCTGGCTGTGCCTTGCACCCTCGGCACGGCCTTCCATCTTGCGAACAGTGCCTGGCACTTGCCAAAGCAAGCTTCGAGAAGGAAGCGGGAGAATCTGGCCGCTTGCCTTGGTTTCCCTGTCCTGCAGAAGCCGTTGGCATCGCGACTGACCTGAAAAACATGGCTCCACAGATCAACTACTTGCTACATCACATGCGAAGCGAGAGTTGGGACCCGGACTTGATCGCTCGAGAGATCCTGTTTAAAGAGAAGATCTTCTGCAAAAGCTTTTTCGAGAAGCTGCGGGGTTGCGAAGATTGCACACAGGTCCTCAAACTCGCTCTGGTCGAGGAGGAGAAGCAGAAATGCCAGGCGGTTCGTGATTTACGCAACTTCGTGACGGGCAGTGTCAACTCCAATGAGTTGAAGAT